TAACATATTTCATGTCACATGTCACAATATATCTGAAATTCATATTTAGAACCTGTTATATATGGCATCGTGAGCTCTACTTCAGATGGATCAATGTCATTTATCACAACCTGTTTGACATAAGATGGAAAAAAGTTGAGCATATGTCATTTTAAATATGTATAACTAATCAAATGATCTCACTTCNCCACACCTGGAAAGCCACTAAAAAATTCGTCAATCTGTAGTGACTTGTTTGTTTTGATAATCCCTTCCTTAATGACGATAATGTGGTCTCAAACAAATATGTGCCAAAAGAGAACATTTCAAGAGTGGAAAAATTGTCACCAAGTGCAAAAATGTATTGATTCACGACCTTCGAGCAGGGTATAGCAAATAGATATGCAATGATAAGATAAATAATCACAATGTTAACCACGTCAAGGTCTGGTGCATTATCTAGTAAAAGAAAGACTCTTTTGACATCTTCACTTGTGACAACTTTTAAGTCCCTAAAATACGTATCCTTCACTGCAAACGATTTTTCATCCAACATCGGTCGACCATCGACCCCATCATACCGCAATCCAGTGACCAAATAGAATTCAGCAATGGAGAACTAAATTTATCTCTCATTTATGTTGAACCACATCTCCTGCTTGTTGGATTGCTTCACCTCCCATAGTAATATATAGTGAATCAACTGTGGCTACACTACTATCTTCCTACAATGCATGTAGTAAGAAACACAAGCGTTTTCCAGAATTTCCCTCTGAGCAGCAGTGAATTTCATCACAAAGTGTTTTATGACACTCTGTATGAGTGTTATAGTGATCTTCCCAAGGAACCAATTCCTTGGTTTTATTACATAGCTCCAGTCGTGCATAATCATAATGTCAGACATGTTAATGTGATCTTCAACAAATAAACATTTGGTTACAAATTTTTCAAAACATAACAAATAACAGTAGATAGTCACAACGCGTATTAGTGCATATATCATTTCCATATTTGTGTCATGTGCTTTAATATGTTTTATCCACTCTAAAGCATATTAACATGTCATAAGATAGAATCAACTGCCATTTACATTCCGGAAAAATTAGCAACAAAATAATATTTTAAAACATGATAGTGCAGATATCCTAATTCAATCCAGCACACTTTATAAAACATTTTCAGCTCACATAAATATTAATCGATCAAACAGTACACCAAATAAGTCACAAACCCTTCAAATTACAAAATACATAGAATATGTCACAAAATCATATTTTGGTCACAAAATACCCAAATCAGGGCACAAATTAGTAAAAATATATATGACAAAACTCACAAATCAGGTTACAAAATCAGATTTCACATTCTTCATGGATTTCCCGCCGAATCCAACATTTTGACTCTCTTTACCAAAGAAGAACCTCCGACATCTTTTATCCTCTTTCCTTTATCCTTCTCCTTTATATTCACATCAACACTACGTGTTCTAACAATTTTAAATACTACAATGGTTGAAAACTAAAATGTAATATGGCTATTTAACATGGATCTCTGATGGTAATGCCAACGACTTGGAGTTCTTGTGTGGTTGAAAAGGGTAGAGAAAGACAGAAACGCGAGTGCGATTGTGGAGAGAGAAATATGTGGTGGTTTTGTGTTATAGAGAGTGAGTGAGTGAGTGATAGCCGGTTTTCAAAGAGAGCGGGGGACATGGGTTGAATGACAGGGTTATTACACAGAGTGGGATACGTGGACGGTCCAAATTAAATATCTTATATATTTAATTAATATAAATTTATTTTTATTAATTTTAAAATAAGTAATTACAACCTGATTTTTGAATTTTAAACTTTATCCTTTTATTTTTGAATTGTTAACTTGAAAACTAGGGTTTTTGGTAACTTTCTCTTAAAAGAATGAGGAAATTATACATCTACTTTTTAACTTTGCATTTCAATAATCAATTATAAAAGAATTTCTAAAAAATAGTAAATTCCTGAAGTACAGGGATTCTTTTACAAAATTCTTACAGGTATTGTGAGAGCACCTAATTTGTAGACAATTTTTTGATTTTTTGTCATCTGTCAATGAATCTATACCATGTGGAATTCTTTAAAATTTTTGTGAAAATTTCCCTATACCTATAGCGTTACTCTTAAAAAATTAGCTACACACCACCCCCACACCCCATGCCTCACACCAATATATGTGACCCTCACTCTCTACCTTCCCCTTTGTTCTTTCTCTCTATCTACCGCCACCAACTTTGATCGCCATCACTGAAAATCAGCCATCACATTTTTCTTTCACACACACCTTCCCTCTCTCCCTCCCTCTCTCTCTCTTATCTCCCTCTCTATTCTCTCTCTTTTTTTTATCGTCCCCACCAAATTTGGCACCATCAAAACATGGTCGCTCGTAGATTTTTCCTTGATCTCCAACTATTTTTTTTACTTGTTAAAGAAGGCTACGAGAGGTGGTTGTGGGAGATAGACATTGTTATGGCTTGCCGAAGAGGAAGATGGGGAGGTAGCTTTGAGAGATGAAACGTTGTCATTGTCTGTCGAAGAAAGCTATGGAGAAGTAGTCGTAGGAGATATCACGTTGCTATGGATTTCCGGAGAGGGTAAAATAGCTATGGAGAAGTGGTGGTGGTGGTGAAGTGGCAGTGGCGTTTAGGTAGTGTCAATGGTGGTCTTCGGTGGAGTGGGATGAAGAGTGTTTATGACAATTATATAGGTAATTGTGATAAATAAAATGAGTAATTTGTGACCAATAAATAATATGTGACTTAAATAAATGTTTCATTTGCGATTAAAATTTTAATTGTGGCTTACAATTTGTGTCTTTGTGATTATAACCATGTGCAATTTGTGAGTGGCACATGACTCAAATACTATAAATTGTGTGTTAGTGTAATCTTGACCTATTTAATTAATTAATAAGTTTGTGACTACCTGATTTTTGAAATCATTTCACAAATTTCTTATTTTTGAAAATATATCTTGAAATTCTGTAGTTATGTATTTTTCATTTACAGAATACTTTTTAGATTCCAAACCCATTTTAAAACGGACCTTGGGAAATTTCACTTGGGGTCTGCAATCTTTCATAAATGTAGCATCAATATCAACAACCTATCATTTATTGTACTTATGTCTTCAACTTTATAAAACCATGACACCCATGTCAACCACTAACAGTAAAATTGTTATT